TTGTTAATCTGATTAAACATAGAGCTAACTCTTAACGGAAAACACTACACTGACAACCAACATCGTGTTCACACACGATGCTAAGCATTTCATGTAGTAAAGATAAAAATTCTCTTCTTGTGATATAAAATCAAATATCACTGAGGAATGATATCTACCGCAGCTTAACCACCGAAATTTTTTTCTAATTAAACTATGGAAACGTACCATTGCTGTAATCAACAAGCCAGACTCTCTATCTCTGCCCGGTCAACTGCACCTGTGCCACGATGAGACCACAGGCCATCAGCATCAGCAACCACTGGGCAACTGACCAGGGCCAGCCGAGAACACACCGAGAGAGCCAAACAGACCGTTCTCCGGATGCCTCTGCCTTTTTTTTTTATTTTCGTAAGTGCAATCAAACCAAATTTACAACGGCTATCATGAGTCAGCTACAGTAACAAAAATGAGTAAATACACACCGTTCTAAATACAGGTAAAAGTATATTCATTCATTTGAGTATGCTATTGTGCTATCTTCCCTTCCACCCTGTGCAATCAGTTCAATATCACGGATAGAATTTAGTCTAGCAGCTTTAGCCTCTCTCATCAACATTCGTGTCAAGAACAACATGTCTCGGGTTCGATTCTATTTGGCTGCGCTGCAAGCCAATGACAGATAAACACTGCTAACGAACACATCCAAGCCAAACACTGGTTAAACATACGCACAATCTTTATTATCTAAGGATACAAACTCTTAGAGGGCTGTGCCTCAGGAGTGGTAATGCACTTTTTTCTAAAACCAGGCCTACCCTCTAACTTTAAAACCGCTAGACGCACATTTTCACGTTCAGGAAATAAGCTCTGAGCTCCTACCACATTCCCGTACAGCGCTAACTCAACTCGCTATATCACGATTCCAAAGACACTATGGCACGCGCCACGTGCAGGATTAGGGGTGCGTCGGCAGATGCTAACGCCACAAACAATGCATGGTCTTGTTTCCCATAACTAGGTATCCCTACTTGTAATCATATTGTTGGCGGAATCTATCGTCGCCTGGAGATCCCCTATATCCTTCCAAATAACTTACAGGGCTCGAATTAAATAAGTCTAGGGGAATTATAACGGTCCCTGAGTTCTGGAAAATTAAGGAAGGAAAATACAGAAAGTTAAATGAATAGGGTGAATCCCCGGAAATTTCCTAAAGAAATTCAGAAAACAATCAAAGTCAACTTTGTTAATTTAACTCAAATCAACTTCAATGAACAATCTTTAGTCTACCCAAGAAGTTAAATTTGATAGGATGAAATCGATAAATGGAGTTTCTAAATAACAACTGTATTGATAAATATTGTTAGGAATTTTAACAATTTTAAATTAAGAAACAAAAGAAACAATTAATAGTTCATCATACACCACAAAGTTTCACAAATAGTCAATAACACTCAGCTTTACGATATACGGAATGTGTCCAACTGCAGCTTCTCTGGGAGGAATGTACAAAGCTCTGACTGCGACTGTTATAGTCCTCGCCTAACTGCGACATTCATCCGTGAGATCTCGGTTGTTCATTCTATACCGTCTGGTTCCCAATTCACAAGGGAACAGCTCACGATCCACAAGTAACAGTGATGGTGGTTCACAATCCACAGGTAACAGTGATGGTGGTTCACAATCCACAGGTAACAGTGATGGTGGTTCACAATCCACAGGTAACAGGCATACAGGAAACGGGAATACGGGAGCACGGGAACCTGCGGAATACATCATTCAGCCCTGTGTTGAGCATTATGTCGACACATCTGGAGCAGGTGGAGGTGTTGCGGTGTCTGTGGTGTTTGTCAGAGTTAAAAGAAAGAAAGATCAAGGTTCATATGTTGTCTTTCTCTACAAGTAAATCAAAATTATACATCTCCACCCTATTATAATATGTTGGTTTATACCTATCTAATTTATGGCACGATCATATAAAACTTGACATAATTAAGCGGACACACATTCGCCTGCGGATTGGACAGTTATTAGTTCGAGTCTCAAAACCCAGGTCGACTTCGCCTTAACGGACACCAGGTATAGTAATGGGAAGTAAAGGCGGCAGGTGTGATGTTGACCACATCAACACCTAGGTACCACTTGGTCTATAAAACATAGGCCAACCCGATATGCCTACAAAGCTGACGACTTTTACTCAAATTATATGTTGCATAATATAATAAACATAAGCAATGTAATGTATACCCGACTGATGATACCACATGGCACAGGATCATGGTTTCTACTATAAGATCTTTACGCAAGTAGACCGAATGAATATAAGAGTGACAGAGGGAAGAAGGGTTCGCTATTGAATAGTCCTAACGGGGAATAGTAACTTTAAGAACGTCGTAATATGTAAGGACTAGTGAATTGTCCAACGGACAAGTATCAAGGTTGATGAAGTTACGGAATATTTATACAATGGTAGAATATAGAATAGCGGGATCTCAATAAAATATTTTAGGATACAGCTAAGGCTTATAGGGGATCTCAGCTACTCCCTACCATTATAAATCTCACCTGAAATAGTATATGGTATTATTATTGTGGGTGTTAGGCCGATGGTATGGCTGGCAATCGTTCTGTGTTGTGACGAAATTAGATCTCCTAGTAACACCACAAAACGTCATAAATTATGTGCGCCTTCGTACCTTTTTATTCTTTTAGCGTCTTATGTTTAAATATATTTATTTTACGTGCGCAATTCTTTTAACTAAAACTTGCAATTAACTCTTGCCGGACTGAAATATTTCTCCCGTTTTGTCACACTACTGACAAAGTCTAACTGCTATCCTAAATATATCTACTAAATGAGATCTATATGAACTAATTACAGCTCACACAGTAAAGTATTAAACACATTTAGTCAAACACTGGACGGTACGACTTACAGCTAACATTTATCACGCTACATTTCTAAAAGTCACTACAACTTGTCAGTGAACTGGCACAATCTAACGGTCTGGTCAAAACCCGTCCACGTCACACAAGTCTTCTGCCAAGAGTCCGAGTCCAGAGTCCCGTTCTGTGTTTTGCACAGACGTTTTGTTGAGATTCCCGAGTTCACTGTAGGGGACACTTGGTGAAGTCCATTGACGTTCAGCGAGTCTCGTTCAGCTAACACAGATTTCTCCGTGTATCGGCCTGTTTAAAACATGTCCTGAGTTTATATTGGGTAAAGGTAAAGTCGGGAGATGTGAACCAGCATCATTGCACACGATTATAAACCATTAGTGCTCTGCTACCAGTACGGACAGCTGAGAAACTGTCCGCTTGTGTCGACGTCCGCGCGAAACTCCGTAGCTACAGCGACGTTCCTTCATTTACCACAGAGTGTTAACTCTGGTACCCATTACCTAGAGGCTGGGTGAACCTCGAGAACCGCCCGGATTCAAACACCTGCCGTGGGTTGTAGCGAGTCGCAGCTAGATTTGAAAGCGAGTCTTCTATCGACTGCGCTAACGCGGCTCATTTTTAGGGTTAGCGGTCACAAGCTACAGCCTGTGTTTTATAAACATCACACTGAACTGTCCCATAACCAAGACGACCCCTGACAATACGTCTTATGATTTCTTTGTTCGTCCCAGGCCTGCTTAATCTCTCTAGTTCCCATTTTAATGCCTGTTTAGCGATTCTCTGCTGGTTTCCTGTGATGTGGCCACAGTAGCGCCATCTTTTATCTTATAACTGTTGATTTTAGGGGTTGCCCTGACATTTATCTTAAATTCCTCTCTTTTGAATTCGTTCAATTTTATTTTCATCACTAGATAAATATTTTGTAAAATTATAATATAAAAATCGAAATTAAATACATTGTTTCAAATACAGGCATCATCATCATCACCATAAACCCCTTCTGCCGTTGAGCGGCGTGGGGAGGAATAATTTGCGATCCAGTGCACGTTGGCTGCCACTGGATAATGTAATGCGTGAGGGCGTAGAGTGTTTTTAATGTTGTCGATCTATGTTTTCCGCTACCGTCCTCTTGTTCTTGTTGCTGATCTTCTGAGATGTGGTGTGATGATATTTGATCTTGCTGCATTCTAACGAGATGGCCAAACCACTTGATCTGCTGTTTCTCGATGAATCTAGTACAAGGTGTCGTTTCCACAATTTGCCTGACAGTTTCATTATTAACGCGATCGCGGATGGTTAGGTTGGCTGCTTTTCTCAGGCACCTCATCTCGCAGGTGGTGATTTTGCGTATATGGGCTTTAGATAGTGTCCATGTTTGGCACTCGTAGCTTAATGTTGAAATGGATATGCTATTAATAATCTGTCTCTTTGCACTCATAGTTATGCTTGGATGTCTTAATAATGGTGACAATTGGTATTTAAGTGCACTTGGTTTCTGACATCTGGTTTCTATTTCCCTGTCAATTCTACCATTTTCTGTGATTATACTTCCTAGATATTTAAACTCCCTAACTTGATTCAGGGCACAACCATTTAGCTGTATGTGTAGTGGGACAGGGGTTCTACTAACTTGCATTGTTTCGGTTTTGTTTACATTGTTCTTCGTGATGTATTTACTAAAATACAGGCAATTCCCCGAAAAAAAATATGTACTCGTCTAAGTTTAGACCGGAAATTCCCCGAACAAGTCAATGCTATTTAAGACAGAACTGGAAAGGTTAGTACGTATGGTCTTAAATCGCTACAGGACGAACGCTGTTGTTAAAGAGAGATAGACGTGCGTGTAACTGATGGCTGGAGACACGACAACGACCGAGGAGGACATGTCGACAGCAACAAACGTGAGCAGTAAATACAAAACAGTGGAACTCCCCCGATTGAGTCATCACGTGACGGAAGTGACGTCACTAAGTCGTCTGCTGCAGCAACAGGGAGTCGTCCCCGCCTTGGACACTCTGTTTTGGTTCTTCTGGTCGGACTTTGTCTCTTGTTCTCGTTAGCTGGTGTGTTGTCTTTGGTTTGATGGTCACAGACTTGTGATTAAACCCAGCAAGGAGAAGATGGCAAGTAGTGTCGGCAAGTTTGTGCCGTGGTCGGGAGAGCTGAGTTGGGTCATGTGGCTACAGTTTCATGGATTTGTTGTTGTTGTGTGCTTGCTACAGCTGACCGTCTTAGAAGGGGCCGATGCCGACACGATACCCACAACAGACACTGGTAACTATCTTCTAGATATCTGATGCTTCTGACTTGTGTATTTCCCCATAATCAATCGTTATTTTGTTGTCACGGAAATCAGATTTAACAGCCCAGACCCCCCGACAAGTTTTGTTTTACGCCAATAAATGAAGATTTGTATTCTGGAACTTTCAAGTCATTGAGTGGTCGAAGTTTGAGAATTCAACTAAATAAATGCTGATGATAGCCTGTTCGTGCCTGCCAAGTTCTGCACATGGACAATCAATTGCTTGTCTTCAATCGCAAGCTGTTTTCATATTCATTTGTCATCGGGCAGCCCAGTGAGGTTCTAGTTTCGTCTGAAGCTGTGTCCGTCACCCAGCTTCTCAGAACCACTTCTATAGTGTGTAGTGAATGCAGTCATAGTAGCCAGCTGGGCTTAGCTGTGATTAGACTCTCATTCTGGCACCACCTTGCACCTGAAGGTGTGTAGCTTTCAGATCTGCCTAATTCAGTTTGTGGTCATATTTCAGCTATAGCTTTCTTCTGTCACAGAACTTTGTCTGTAGCTTTAAGAGGTCCCGTGTGTTAGTGATTGGACTGTTCTTCTGTGTGTAGTTTTAGTTGTTGGACTGAGTTATGAGTAACATTATCTTAACAGCACTCCAGACGCATCCATAGGTGCTGAGATTCAGCCTTTAACATATTCCTCAGCGTGGCATGGTTATTGGTGCTAGTCCTGTTCTGGTTGACAAAACTGTTCTGTTTGTCCGGTGTGTTTCTCATGCTTGACTGTGCCACTCTTTACTCCCAGATCTGGTATATTTACAGTGATGCAGTGATGTGGACATGTTGCTTCCAAATTCATTAGAACATCCTATCTCTATGATGGCATTGACAATGTCTGTGTGATCCATCGGTCGGCCATTTGCAGTTAATGTGCTACTTACAAGTCTACAGCCTGTGTTCTTTGTGTAATTTTAGTGATTGGATTGTGATCTTCTGTGTAATTTTAGTGATTGGACTGTTTTCTTCTGTGTAGTTTTAGTGATTGGACTGTTTTCTTCTGTGTGTAGTTTTAGTGATTAGACTGTTTTCTTGTGTGTGTAGTTTTAGTTATTAGACTGTTTCCTTTTGTGTAGTTTTAGTGATTGGACTGTTTTCTTCTTCCTGTGTAGTTTTAGTGATTAGACTGTTTTCTTCTGTGTGTAGGTTTAGTGATTAGACTGTTTCCTTTTGTGTAGTTTTAGTGATTGGACTGTTGTTTTTTTCTGTGTAGTTTTATTATTGTAGTTTTCTCCTGTGTAGTTTTAGAGATTGGACTGTTTTCTTCTGTGTAGTTTTAGTGATTGGGCTGTTTTTTTTCTATGTGTAGTTATCCATCTTGTTTTAGAGAAGAGTAAGTTAGTCTGCTTGTTGTGTGTTGTCTTCCTTCTTGTTTAAGAGAACAATGTCCATGCAGTAATGTAGCAAACAATATCCTGTTTAACTCCTCTGGGTTATCTTCTTTTTTTCTATTTATTTTTGCTGTAAACTCCTGCGGAAAGTTTTAGTTGTTTGTCCACTTCTGGACTGCAGTCCTGTTCCAGAACCTGAGTGTTGCCTGTGCACCCTTTTGACAGATTTGACTAAATTTATGCAGACTGTTGGTTCCTTGCCTCTCAGGCAGATGCACTCTGACTTTGAAGGAAGCCCCCAATTAGTTGACTCTTACGACATGCTTTTGGGTAGGCAGTGAGTCTATTCTTGTTTTTCCTATAATAGGGCCTGGAACCCACACAGGTCGTCTGGGTCATAATTGGGATGTATAGAATTTGTCCTGTTTCAGTAATGATGTTTATGCTTATCAATTATTACATTACATAGCTAGTAAAGGTCTTATCTCGGAAATTAAAATTTTTTCGCCAGGAAAGCAAATTAGCGGGAGGCATGATGCCAGGAAAGACAGGCAGGTGATGGGCACAAAATACAAGAGACACCTTAGGAAAGTACACGAGGTGGGAGATCTGTCAAGAGACAAGTTTCTTTCAGGTCAGGATGAGATGATAGCGATGTTCCGCACAGGGTCTGCTACATGATGAGTTTTGTCCTCGAGATAATTGAATATTTATGTGTTTAAGCAGTCCTTAATAATAAGAGAGAATAGTTTGATGTACATAAGGAAATAATATGTCAAAACATTATTTAATTTCAGTGACATCACTTCCTAGCAATGACACTGCTATACAAAACATCACTGCCCGGCCGGAGGGACACACAGAAGAGATTAACACAGGTGAGTACCTTCTTCTTCTCTAGTCCTGTTCTTCTACCTTTGAGCATCAGCTTTTGGAGAGATATGGGTTGCAAGCTCTGGTATTTACAGCCTTGTGTATTCCTTCTATCCTCATTTGTGTGGTCGACCACTAGCTCTGGTGCCACTGTGCTTGCGCAAAAGAGCTCTCTGTGGTACCCTATCTGGTGGTAGTCGTGTCAAATGTCCGAATCACTTCATCTGTGGTACCCTATCTGGTGGTAGTCGTGACACATGTCCGAATCACTTCATCTGTGGTACCCTATCTGTTGGTAGTCGTGTCAAATGTCCGAATCACTTCATCTGTGGTACCCTATCTGGTGATAGTCGTGACACATGTCCGAATCACTTCATCTGTGGTACCCTATCTGGTGGTAGTCATGACACATGTCCGAATCACTTCATCTGTGGTACCCTATCTGGTGGTAGTCGTGACACATGTCTGAATCACTTCATCTGTGGTACCCTATCTGGTGGTAGTCGTGACATGTCCGAATCACTTCATCTGTGGTATCCTATCTGGTGGTAGTCGTGACACATGTCTGAATCACTTCATCTGTGGTATCCTATCTGGTGGTAGTCGTGACACATGTCTGAATCACTTCATCTGTGGTACCCTATCTGGTGGTAGTCGTGACACATGTCTGAATCACTTCATCTGTGGTACCCTATCTGGTGGTAGTCGTGACATGTCCGAATCACTTCATCTGTGGTATCCTATCTGGTGGTAGTCGTGACACATGTCTGAATCACTTCATCTGTGATACCCTATCTGGTGGTAGTCATGACACATGTCCGAATCACTTCATCTGTGGTACCCTATCTGGTGGTAGTCATGACACATGTCCGAATCACTTCATCTGTGGTACCCTATCTGGTGGTAGTCATGACACATGTCCGAATCACTTCATCTGTGGTATCCTATCTGGTGATAGTCGTGACATGTCTGAATCACTTCATCTGTGGTATCCTATCTGGTGGTAGTCATGACACATGTCCGAATCACTTCATCTGTGGTACCCTGTCTGATGGTAGTCATGACACATGTCCGAATCACTTCATCTGTGGTACCCTATCTGGTGGTAGTCGTGACATGTCTGAATCACTTCATCTGTGGTACCCTATCTGGTGGTAGTCGTGACACATGTCTGAATCACTTCATCTGTGGTACCCTATCTGGTGGTAGTCGTGACATGTCTGAATCACTTCATCTGTGGTACCCTATCTGGTGGTAGTCGTGACATGTCTGAATCACTTCATCTGTGGTATCCTATCTGGTGGTAGTCATGACACATGTCCGAATCACTTCATCTGTGGTACGATATCTGGTGATAGTCGTGACACATGTCCGAATCACTTCATCTGTGGTACCCTATCTGGTGGTAGTCGTGACATGTCCGAATCACTTCATCTGTGGTACCCTATCTGGTGGTAGTCATGACTTGTCCAAATCACTTCATCTGTGGTACGATATTTGGTGGTAGTCGTGACATGTCTGAATCACTTCATCTGTGGTACCCTATCTGGTGGTAGTCGTGACATGTCTGAATCACTTCATCTGTGGTATCCTATCTGGTGGTAGTCGTGTCAAATGTCCGAATCACTTCATCTGTGGTACCCTATCTGGTGGTAGTCGTGACATGTCTGAATCACTTCATCTGTGGTACCCTATCTGGTGGTAGTCGTGACACATGTCCGAATCACTTCATCTGTGGTATCCTATCTGGTGGTAGTCGTGACACATGTCCGAATCACTTCATCTGTGGTATCCTATCTGGTGGTAGTCGTGACATGTCCGAATCACTTCATCTGTGGTACCCTATTTGGTGGTAGTCGTGACATGTCTGAATCACTTCATCTGTGGTACCCTATCTGGTGGTAGTCGTGACATGTCTGAATCACTTCATCTGTGGTATCCTATCTGGTTGTAGTCGTGACATGTCCGAATCACTTCATCTGTGGTACCCTATCTGGTGGTAGTCGTGACATGTCTGAATCACTTCATCTGTGGTATCCTATCTGGTGGTAGTCGTGACATGTCCGAATCACTTCATCTGTGGTACCCTATTTGGTGGTAGTCGTGACATGTCCGAATCACTTCATCTGTGGTATCCTATCTGGTGGTAGTCGTGACACATGTCCGAATCACTTCATCTGTGGTACGATATCTGGTGGTAGTCGTGACATGTCTGAATCACTTCATCTGTGGTATCCTATCTGGTGGTAGTCGTGACACATGTCCGAATCACTTCATCTGTGGTATCCTATCTGGTGGTAGTCGTGACATGTCTGAATCACTTCATCTGTGGTACCCTATCTGGTGGTAGTCGTGACATGTCCGAATCACTTCATCTGTGGTACGATATCTGGTGGTAGTCATGACACATGTCCGAATCACTTCATCTGTGGTACCTTATCTGGTGGTAGTCGTGACATGTCTGAATCACTTCATCTGTGGTATCCTATCTGGTGGTAGTCATGACACATGTCCGAATCACTTCATCTGTGGTACCCTATCTGGTGGTAGTCGTGACACATGTCCGAATCACTTCATCTGTGGCACCTTGATCTAGTTTAGTGATGGTTCCATCCCAACTTAATTCCTAATATTATTATTTCTGATCCTGTCTTTTCTAACAACATTTGGAATTCGTTGTAGACATGTCATTTCTTTTTCAGTTATGTTTTTCTTTTTTCTTAATAATGTCCATGTTTGGCCTGTGAGTGTCACGTGATAAAATGTAGCAATCGTTTTTATGTCTGATTAAGCGCTTTGACTTCAGGACAGTTCTGCAAATTAGTTAAATGCAATGTTCAAAGTAATATCAGTGTAGTTTCATGAGTGTGTCTTCAATGAAATTTTCGGACTGGGTCTTGATTGAAATCCCATAAGCCTGTATTGAATTAAATCCCGTGAGTGGGACTTGAAATAACCTTTTGGAGACGACGTAGAAGATTTATCGGCCAAAAACAAAATAGCCAAAAAGATGACTAGGCGAATCGGTCGGCCCTGAATAATATAACCCTGAGATTGGCTGGCAGGTTTTGGCACCAGCATATCAGATTGCTTGTCACATTTCTTGTGCACATGGGCTGTTCAATGACAGCTTTCAAGAACGTTTGATGTGCTCTGTAATTTAACATTGATTTTTGTGTGTGGGGTTACTTATGGCCAACAATAGGAACAGAAACGTAGCAGGAGGCAGGAAAATGAGTAGAACCATGTGACAGAAGGGCCTCCAAGGGCCTTACTTCCCAAAACACAAGTGTTAGAACGTATTCAGGCTTTATCCATCAAAATATTCACCCACATTTTTTAGGTTAGTCATGTTTGTTCTCCAGTTTAAAAAATGCTTGCATAAATTATGCAAATCAGAATTTGAATAAATGTTAAGATTTCAGTTTGATTTATAAATATTTTATTAGCTCATTCAATTTCCTACAAAAATAAATAGTTTTTGTATATGTTAATTATACTGTCTTTTTTAGCATTGAAACTCTAGAAAGGCTCCGTCTCCAAAGGTTTAAATCTGCTGGCATTATCTGGAATAAAGTTCTATGTCAATGACTTGAATGTAATTCTGTTTTTGTCTTGAATAAAGGTCTGTAAGTTTGGCTTCAAGTTCTGTGACAGATCTGAGTGAAATAAGTTAGTGGGATTGGTGCTGTGTGAAAGATCTGAGTAAAATAACTTAGTGGGGTTGGGGCTGTGTGACAGATCTGAGTGAAATTACTTAGTGGGATTGGTGCTGTGTGACAGATTTGAGTAAAATTACTTAGTGGGATTGGTGCTGTGTGACAGATTTGAGTGAAATTACTTAGTGGGATTGGAGCTGTGTGACAGATCTGAGTGATGTTCCTGAAACAAGATTTGAATGGAGTTGTGTGTGTCTTGAATGAAGCAGAACACCTGCTTCCAGTAACTGACAATGTCCACATGGTGTATGTTTTCTGCCAACAGGTACGGTGGTTGCAGTCTCCATTATCTGTATACTGTTGTGCATTACTATTATTGTCGCTGTCTACTTCTTCAGAAGAAAAAGACAGTAAGTCTCATTCTGTGATTTGTTTACACTGCTTGTCTGATGTTCTAGATGATATTTTAAGACAGGGTACCTGGAATAGAGAAATTAGTCACTTTGGGAGATCACTAGGTCAAAGAAGACAGTGTGGGAGATCACTAGGTCAAAGAAGACAGTGTGGGAGATCACTAGGTCAAAGAAGACAGTGTGGGAGCTCAATAGGTCAAAGAAGACAGAGTGGGAGATCACTAGGTCAAAGAAGACAGTGTGGGAGATCACTAGGTCAAAGACGACAGTGTGGGAGATCACTAGGTCAAAGAAGACAGTGTGGGAGCTCACTAGATCAAAGAAGACAGTGTGGGAGCTCAATAGGTCAAAGAAGACAGTGTGGGAGATCACTAGGTCAAACAAGACAGTGTGGGAGCTCAATAGGTCAAAGAAGACAGTGTGGGAGATCACTAGGTCAAAGAAGACAGTGTGGGAGATCAATAGGTCAAAGAAGACACTGTGGGAGATCTCTAGGTCAAAGACGACAGTGTGGGAGATCACTAGGTCAAAGACGACAGTGTGGGAGATCACTAGGTCAAAGACGACAGTGTGGGAGATCACTAGGTCAAAGAAAACAGTGAGGAAGATCACTAGGTCAAAGACGGCAGTGTGGGAGATCACTAGGTCAAAGATGACAGTGTAGGAGATCACTAGGTCAAAGAAGACAGTTTGGGAGATCACTAGGTCAAAGAAGACAGTGTGAGAGCTCAATAGGTCAAAGAAGACAGTGTGGGAGATCACTAGGTCAAAGATGACAGTGTGGGAGATCACTAGGTCAAAGAAGACAGTGTAGGAGATCACTAGGTCAAAGCAGACAGTGAAAGATGCCGAAAGCTTCAACATTTGGGGAACAATTAATAGTACACACTGAGTGGTAGCAACTTCATCAAGCTCTCAGGTGACCGGGCAGATTGTAGAGTCATGATCAGTAGTCTGTCTGCAGGCCTCCCGTCTCAACAACCAATGTCATATTCAGTGTTGTCCTCATTCATCATTTCTATATCCTAGAACTGAGGTCAGTTAACAACCAACATCACAGTATATATATATATATATATATATATATATATATATAAATCAATGTTTGTGTGTTTGTTTGTCCCTTATAGACTCGGAAACTACTGAACCGATTTAGCTGAAATTTTCAGGATATGTTTGTTTTGATACCAGATGTTGAACCATCATGGTTTGAAATTCAACCTATCATTGTTAGAGATAGGTGACCACAATTTAAGCAAAAATATTCGAAACTAATATTTAAATTGTTAGTGACATCTAATTATAGCCACGTTAGTAATTGCGCATGCGCCTTAGTCAGAACGCAAGACTTCCGCCATTTGCCGGCGAGTTATGTGCAGCCAACGCCTTCTCTAATAGTAGGTCGTGGTACAGCAAACAAGACTATCTCTATATTTGCCACAATAACCATATTAAACACAATTTCTATTTTTTTTTCAAACAACCTTCGATTGGGAAAGGGGGGGGGGGGCATCAAGGACTATCTCGACGTCAGCGCAGACTTTGACTGCGACATTAACTTCATTAACCGTGTTAGACACGTGCCATTTCTATTGTTGTGCCGTTTCATTAATATATCTGGAGTATCTGTCTATGAGAAAACAGTTGCCTGAGGTTTTTGAGTTGTGTTATAATTGGGACACAGTAGTAGGGACACACATCTCTAATAGTTCAGTTCTCTTTTCGTTGCTCCGATAAAGTGGCTACTTGGTCGAATGGTTAGTACACTGGGTTCCTGTGCGGGAGACCAGGGTTCGAATCCGCAGTAGTTAAATTTTTTTTTTTTACCCCGGACTAAAATAATATTCTCATCTGCTCTGTCGTGGTGACAGCACTAGCCATGTTGCCCTTAATACTTAAAAAAAAAAGACAAGTAAATGGGTAAAAAATAATATCCTCATCTGCTCTGTCGTGGTGACAGCACTAGCCATGTTGCCCTCAATACTAAAAAAAAAAAGACAAATAAATGGGTAAAAAAATGGGTTTAAAAAAAAAGACAATAAATGGGTAAACCATTTGATAATTAATTTGACGATTTCGCATACTTATGATTGCATTTTTAAACTTTCCGATTGCATGGTTACGCTGAAATTTCATAGCTTTCCATTTATTTTCATTTAGATTTAGTTGTTTCATCTGCGTTGGAATTTTAAGCTGTGCTGTTTACCATAGCGTTCATTTCCTAATTATGGTGTTTTTTTTCCTGTTTTCATTTGCTTTTCAAGTGTGTTTTTTTTCTCTCCCAACTACTTCAATGAGGGAAAGAGTTGTCGGTGAATTTAAGGGGGGAGGGGGGGGGGGGGGCAAACTGTTAACTGAGAGAGCTTTAAGTCACAGTAACTGCTTTACCCACTTAAAGTAGCAGCAGCAGTAATAGTTGTGGTTTTGCTGTTACACCGTAGTGCTCTCATTTGAAGACTGCCGGTAAGGTTATGGCGTTCTTCTGTCGGGAAGCGAAATTATACATCCTAACCTGACCAGTCTGTGGCGACAGCACTAGCCATGCGGAACCAAATCTTCTGGCTCACGACTCTCTGTCTACTCCGATGGTAACACAGATAGCAGTGACATTATTTTAGCTACTGTGGTGGTGGTAGTAGTTGTACTGGTACTTGAAGGATGATGTGGTAAATATTACACTAGCCCCATTCACTAACTATTACAATTCCTGCTCCCCATTTTAGTCCGGATGGACAGGGATGTCAATGTCAGTTACAGCAACAACAAAATATCGCCAGGTAATGATTTTCGAATCCTTCGAAGAGGGAGAGAGCAGTAGTCGGTGGAAGAGGGGAGGGGGTAATGACTTAAATTTAAGAGAACTTAAAGAGCTTTACACGTGATTTTCAAGTTCTCATTACCTAATTATATTTTACTAACGCTACCTCCGCTTTTCTATTTTTTACGACTTACTTTGTTATTTACAAGTACAGTTGTAGCTTTACTTCCGTCTCCTATAAAAATACAAACAGCTTTAGCATGTCATAACCAAATAACCATTTTTGTTACTGTGCTAATAACACTATTTAAACGACCACTAATAAAAGACACAATTATAAGGTGCGTGTTCTAAAGTTGGAAAACCAGACTATCTCTATATCTGTGCAGAGATTGATTGCGACATTAACTATAATAGACACGTGCGATTTCCATTGTTTTTCTTTTCCAAAAACCTTTGATGAGGGAGAGAGTAGTAGGTGGATTTAGTTGTGGTGGTGGTGGGGGGGGGGGGGGGGGGGGGGGTGGTGGGGGAAATCAAAGACTATCTCTATATCTGAGCAGACAATGATTGTATTAGACACGTGAGATTTCTATTTTCTTTCATTTCCATTTAGCCAAACTATGCCACAGCAACGCGTGGCCGGGTACAGCTAGTATATATATATATATATATATATATATATATATATATATATATATATATATATATATATATATATATATATATATATATATATATATATATATATATATATATATATATTAAGGCTGTACCGAATAGTGATCTTCACTATTCGGCCGAATACGAATAGTATGACCAACTACTACGCTAAATACGTTGTCTTCCTCTATCCCTCCTTCCACAGATCTTTCCAGTGGTCACCACATGTTCCAATTTCCCTCTTCTTATAACATGGCCGAAAAATGACAACTGTCTACTTCTGATGTTTGTGATTAGTTGTCTTCGGGCTCCCGCCTCTTTCAAAACCATCAGTCTCTTGGCCGTTCGTTCGATGTAATTTAAACGCACCTTTATTTTCTCGTAAGCAGTATCTTCAAATTTGGGCGAAGACACCCTGACAGAACAAAAAATGCATGATCTCTTTCTCGCTCTCTCCCTCACACACTGCAGTTGGCATTTTATGCAGTTTGTACCACGCAACCCGGTCGCAGTGTCCCCTGCTACGACAGATTTAGGCAACAGCAACGATTGTGTTAATGAGAGAGTTATTTCAGTCCATCACAGTGTATGCAGAAACGGGTGTAAGGTTACCACTATTCGTATTCGGCACGACTGCAACTATTCGGCCGAATACCGAATAGTTATTAGGTCCACTGTTCGGCCCCGAAGCGAATATTCGGCACAGCCCTTTATATATATATATATATATTTAAATATATATGTATATATATGTGTGTGTGTATGTGTGTGCACACAGGCTCTGTAGCACCGGCGAGAATCCTGATATTCTTTGGTTAGATTTTTAACTCTAAAATTTTGCCCGGGCAGCATGGTTGGGCTACTCTTTTTTTACGTGTGCAACACAATACACACGGGCATACGATTTGACTACCCAGAATATTGAGGGAATTACTAGAAGTCCAAGTCCACATAAAAAATCCCAGGCTTTGCCAGGGATTGAGCCCGGAATCTTCAGCACTCCAGGCCGTGCAGCCCCTGTGTGTGTGTGTGTATATCAACATGATGTACACATATACACAAGTTCATTTTGTTTGCATACTTCCCTGTTTAATCAGGTAATGTTATAGAACAGTAGTTAAGATGAGCCCCACTGCTTGTATCAGTTGTTGTCTGTAGCCTAGAGTGCTGATTGTTGTCTGTAGCCTAGAGTGCTGGTTGTTGTCTGTGTAGCCTAGAGTGCTGGTTGTTGTCTGTAGCCTAGAGTGCTGGTTGTTGTCTGTAGCCTACAGTGCTGGTTGTTGTCTGTGTAGCCTAGAGTGCTGGTTGTTGTCTGTAGCCTACAGTGCTGGTTGTTGTCTGTAGCCTAGAGTGCTGGTTGTTGTCTGTAGCCTAGAGTGCTGGTTTGTAGCCTAGAGTGCTGGTTGTTGTCTGTAGCCTAGAGTGCTGGTTGTTGTCTGTGTAGCCTAGAGTGCTGGTTGTTGTCTGTAGCCTAGAGTGCTGGTTGTTTTTTGTGTAGCCTAGAGTGCTGGTTGTTGTCTGTAGCCTACAGTGCTGGTTGTTGTCTGTAGCCTAGAGTGCTGGTTGTTGTCTGTAGCCTAGAGTGCTGGTTGTTGTCTGTAGCCTAGAGTGCTGGTTGTAGCCTACAGTGCTGGTTGTTGTCTGTAGCCTAGAGTGCTGGTTGTTATCTGTAGCCTAGAGTGCTGGTTGTTGTCTGTAGCCTAGAGTGCTGGTTGTTGTCTGTGTAGCCTAGAGTGCTGGTTGTTGTCTGTAGCCTAGAGTGCTGGTTGTTGTCTGTAGCCTAGAGTGCTGGTTGTTGCCGCAAGCTCTCACATATGCTGTGGCAGGTTCTCAAGCAAGACATCATCTGCTGGTTATTGCAGGTTCCGCATGATGGACAAGGAGAAAAAGATGCAGATCCAGATGTCCTCGGCTCGCAATGCTGGTGTATACCAGGATCTGACTGTCAGTGTCCCAGGAGACGAGAAGCCTGCAGCAAGTCCTGAACATGAACGACTGAAAGCAGCAGAAGATGTCTGAACTCTCCTGGCTGTTGCTGGAGTGTTGTGGCTGGTATCTGATGTTCTTCTATGTTCACTGTGGGAGTTGTATGTTTGTTTCCTTTGTTGACATTTGCAACCAGACTCTTGAGCCACTCTGTATTACCAGTTGCACACAACTTTTTAATCAATGTTTGTTATTGTTACAAATGTAGTTTCTGTATGTGTACATTATAAAAACAAGTCCGCTAGATCCAGCTGACCAAATGAAAGCCAACCTACCTCATTCAAGTCTCCACTTAAGTAAAGATTCATTCATCCCCCCCCCCCCCCCCCCCCCCCCCCCCCCCCCACCAAAACATTTTTCTTCTTGGCATTCACCTGCTGCAAACTAAAGCAGAAAATTCTGGTTGTTTGTACATCTCTGAACTTGTCTTGTTCTGGAAACTTGAGTGTTGCATGAACATGCATTTTACAGATCTGACTATTTGACTGCAGACTGTTGGCTGGCTCAAAGTGGGGTAACATTTCAGGTGAATCGACAGCAGCAAGCACCAGCTCAGTTGCACACACAGGCATCAATGTAAACATGAGATGTAGCTGCTCTGTCAGAGGCTATGAAACATACAGATGGCATGACACAGAGATGACCACAAAGTTGTCAGAGGCTATGAAACATACAGATGGCATGACACAGAGATGTCCACAAAGTTCTGTCTGAGGCTATAAAACATATAGGCTAGACTGAGATATCCACAGAGTTCTGTCAGAGGCTATAAAACATATAGGCTAGACTGAGATATCCACAGAGTTCTGTCAGAGGCTATAAAACATATAGGCTAGACTGAGATATCCACAGAGTTCTGTCAGAGGCTATGAAACATACAGATGGCATGACACAGAGATGGCCACAGAGTTCTGTCAGAAGCTATGAAACAGATAGGCTAGACTGAGATATCCACAGAGTTCTGTCAGAGGCTATAAAACATATAGGGTAGACTGAGATGGCCACAGAGTTCTGTCAGAGGCTATGAAACATATAGGCTAGAGTGAGATATCCACAGAGTTCTGTCAGAGGCTATAAAACATATAGGGTAATCTGAGATGGCCACAGAGTTCTGTCAGAGGCTATAAAACATACAGATGGCATGACACAGAGATGGCCACAGAGTTCTGTCAGAGGCTGTGAAACATATAGGCTAGACAGAGACATCCACAGAGTTCTGTCAGAGGCTATAAAACATATAGGGTAATCTGAGATGGCCACAGAGTTCTGTCAGAGGCTAAAAAACATACAGATGGCATGACACAGAGATGGCCACAGAGTTCTGTCAGAGGCTGTGAAACATATAGGCTAGACAGAGACATCCACAGAGTTCTGTCAGAGGCTATAAAACATATAGGGTAATCTGAGATGGCCACAGAGTTCTGTCAGAGGCTATAAAACATACAGATGGCATGACACAGAGATGTCCACAGTTCTGTCAGAGGCTATGAAACATATAGGCTAGACTGAGATGTCCACAGAGTTCTGTCAGAGGCTATGAAACATACAGATGGCATGACACAGAGATGGCCACAGAGTTCTGTCAGAAGCTATGAAACATATAGGCTAGACTGAGATGGCCACAGAGTTCTGTCAGAGACTATGAAACATATAGGCTAGACTTAGATGGCCACAGAGGAGGCATTGCATCATTACATTAATTAAAAATACTACTGCGGCCACAGAAACTTCCAGCAGTGAGTCTGAACTTCTGACAGTAAAACTACATATCCTTCCAGAGCCACATGTACTTTACTAGCTTTTACTGTCCCAACAATAAGAAATTAGAACTAGAGGACATCCAAGTAGCTGATAAGAGCCACCTAATTATCAGTGGCTTTAAGTCATTCCCCTAGTTGGGGCTGTACTTCTATGGACACAAGAGGAGAAGGGGTAGAGGAATACATGGGGCCCATTAAAGAAACCCAAGGGAAAGCTACCCTGAGGCTCAGACTTCTGAAAAAACTTACTGGAACAATCTGGGGTGCAGATGCCAACACTGTACAACAAGTAAACACAGGATACGTAGAGACCAAGACTGGAGTATGGCATGAGAGCACACTCCACTGCAGCCAAAACAAACCTGTACAAACTAGACAAAATGCAGAACACTGGTCTCAGAATCAACACTGGAGGTTTGAGAAGCACACCAGTTATTGAGCTAGAGGCAACTTCTGGTCTCCAGAGCTTGAGCCATCAAAGGGAAGAAAAGGTGGGCACTCTTCCGAATACCGGTCCCAAATTATTCACCGTTAAAAAATCCTATTCAGGGCCTCAAGAGGTCATTTTTTAACCCTTAACAGGGCGGTTGGCACGTTGTGTTGTGGTTTACAGCTAGGCTGCGAAATATGCGCCTTTCTCTTGTTCTTGTGGTTCACAGCTAGGCTGCGATAGCGGCGGCGAGATGCTCAATGATAATGTCACGGGTAGGTAAACTTCGTTCTTTTCGTTCGCCCTTGAAAGAATGGTTCTCAGGTTGTGTTGTGGTTTACAGCTAGGCTGCGATATCTGCGCCCTTTGCCCCAAAGCATCCGATTTCAGCAGTCCTAATTAGTCGCCTTTTACAACTTTTATGTGGCAGTGGATCTATTTTTTCTTTCCCCTAAAACATGTGGCCCTGGACCCCGCAAGGGCAGTAATGGGTAATGTAAACAATGGATAAAAAATCATTCACGTCGCTTCAATGGAACGAACTCTATTCCTCCCCAAGCCGCTTAAAAAATGGATCTAAATCTATTCTTTTCCACGTCGCTTCAATTGATCGAAAACGATTCCTCCCCACGGCGCTTAACTTAACGTCTAAAGATTGATATCCAGCGAGCAATAATGGCACAAGTGGACACTGATCATGATGGCCTAAACAGTTTTACTACATAACCTCCTGAGGGATGTTTTTCGGCAGTGAATAATTTGGGACCGGTATTCGGAAGAGTGCCGAAAAGGTGCTTACCCTAACATAAAAATTTGAAGGCTTGAACAACAACCCCATGCTCAGAATAGCAAGCAGCTTAACTAAAAACTGACTGACAAGATAAAGCTTTCACAATCTATCAAAATTGTACTGTGCAAAAAACAGTGACATCCTTTCTAAAGATCCTTCAACATGGGAAATGATCCAGGCATACAGCATAGACCTACAGACTAACTATAGAGTCACAACAATTCCAGGCATAGACAGAAAGGTTGAAGAATGTGACCTAGTACTTCATGCAAATACCCTTGAACATGTCTACAACTGTTATCCAAAACCCGAATGGACACACAAAAACACCGATGGATCATTAGAGGCAGCAGAAAAAATGGAGGAGCTGGATCGGTCATCATGCTGCAAGATGGGACCACTGTTGATACATCATTCCTATAAATAAACATCACGCACCTCTGGAAGACTCAACAAACTTCTCAGCAGAGCTGCAAGCAATTATTGATGCAACCAAAGTGCCAGGTGAGTTGTGTCCCTTTTACAGGACATTGCAGAACCAACCCAGCAGCCCCTGGCTGTTGTGTGATTTTTCTAGGCAAATTTACGTCCAGTAGTTTGCCATTGCTTTCTGGACGGCGGCTTTCTTGATACCACTGTCGAAACCAACGCAAGGCGCATGGCTCGCAGCTGGGATCGAACCCGGCATCACGGCATTATGAAGCGTTCGCATCAACTTAGCCACAAAGCCGACAACCAAAGTGCCTAAGAAAGAAAAATTAAACACAGCAAAATTGTTTCCCTTCGTAACTGCATGTCAGTCCTCCAGGTGACATAGAGATCCACAAGAACAACATGGAGAGAGAACTGACCTGCCAGCTAAACACTCAGAAAAACAAATTGTTTTCCTTCGTAACTGCATGTCAGTCCTCTAGGTGACATAGGGATCCACAAGACAACATGGAGAGAGAACTGACCTGCCAGCTAAACACTCAGAAAAACAAATTGTTTTCCTTCGTAACTGCATGTCAGTCCTCCAGGTGACATAGAGATCCACAAGAACAACATGGAGAGAGAACTGACCTGCCAGCTAAACACTCAGAAAAACAAATTGTTTTCCTTCGTAACTGCATGTCAGTCCTCTAGGTGACATAGGGATCCACAAGACAACATGGAGAGAGAACTGACCTGCCAGCTAAACACTCAGAAAACAATAAAATCGTTCTCCAGTGGATCCTGGCTCAATGCAGCATACCATAAAATGAGCAGACAGACCCACAAAAAATGGAACAAAGGAGAAACAACACACATATTCATTGTCATTACCAGAAATCAAAACACTCACCAAAGGAAAATACAAGGAATTGTGGAAAGAACAAACCAACAGTAAACATCCACAAGACCCCATCAGCAGACTCAACAGTAATTTTCCCATCTACGAAAAGGACACTGCAGGCTTGATTACCCCATGCATAAAATAAATACTGTAAATTCCCCACAGTGTGCCTGTCAGACAAGACCACAAACACCCAAGCACACTCTGCAGACCTGGCCAGTCTACCTGCAGCTTTAAAAAGACACCTAGCCTCAAGAGCAAAGAGTGCAAGCAAGCTGTGGGGAACAGGAAGGACATGCAAGTGTCATGTGAGTTCATACAGGCAACCCACCTGATGGTCTGATCTAAGCATACGAAACTGAACGGAAAGAATAAATGTAGAAGGAAAACTGTAATAATGGAGTTCTTGCATCAGCTCCACAAATAGGTGTCAGTATAAACATTGGATGTGAAAAGCCTTTCTGTAATAATGGAGTTCTTGCATCAGTTCCACAAATAGGTGTCAGTATAAACATTGGATGTGAAAAGCCTTTCTGTAATAATGTTCTTGCATTATCAGTTCCACAAATAGGTGTCAGTATAAACATTGGATGTGAAAAGCCTTTCTGTAATAATAGAGTTCTTGCATCAGCTCCACAAATAGGTGTCAGTATAAACATTGGATGTGAAAAGCCTTTCTGTAATAATAGAGTTCTTGCATCAGCTCCACAAATAGGTGTCAGTATAAACATTGGATGT